TTGGATTTATAGCGATAGAACAAAATTTAGTGAACAATATTAGTTTAACCCTTCAGTGCACGCGTTCTACGGATTTACGTGAGCACACGCGCTATGGTGGAATCACCGACACATTGATACACGTTGGTAAAGTTGGCACCTTTATTTTTTGGAAATTTTTCACATTAAAAGGGGATCAACAAATTACTTACAATATTATTAAAGGAAGAAGTTTTTGGCAATTTTAATATGAGATGTGCTAAAGAAGAGGCTCACTATCGCGACCAAGCTTGAAAATGATTTCTACAAAAATAAAGCCTAATATTTTCCCGAGTATTTGCCTATACATTTGATTGACAGTATTTATATACAGGATGGTGACTTGCGTAACTCATCATAGGGATTTCAATGTAAAATTCATAATCATAACATGCGATTTTGGCTCCCCAAATTATTTTAGAGCAAAAATGTATTAAGGTTTTTTTGTAGAAAAAATTTTTTTACGTCAATCAACCGTATTAGTTTTCAAGTTTTTGCATACTAAAGACGGAAAATTGGAAAAATAAAACCCGCATCTTTTTCAATAATCTGCGATGCCATGGAATTTTCTAAAACAAAACAATATCCACTTATCAATTAGCAGCAGCTCGAAATGGATTTTATGATCGACTTGGTTTCTGTCTTGCACTTAATGGTGACTTATTTGAACATTTATTGTAAATTGTTATATTAGGAAACCGTTTTTAGTAAATTGGGTCTTTCTTTATGTTGAATTCGCTGTTCTAAATATAATAGGTACTTTTCGATAGAAATTGATTTGTTTTATAGCTGACATTCCATGGCATGGCGGATATTGGCGTAGTTTTTGTATTATAAAATTCCATGGCATCACAGATTATTGAAAAAGATGGGGGCTTTATTTTTTCAATTTCCCCCCTTTATTATGCAAAAAATTGAAAACTAATTCGGTTGATTGACGTAAAAAAATTTTTCCTAGGTACAAAAAACCTTAATACAATTTTGCTCTAAAATAATTTGGGGAGCCAATAATCGCATGTTATGAATTTTACATTGAAATCCCTATGATGCGTTACGCAAGTCACCACCCTGTATATTCATATATGTATTGTTTGATATAATTGGTGTCCAACCACCCCACACAATAGGATTTATTCATTCATATGCATATTTTATTGCATGTCTATTGACGGCTGATTATTACTTACCTCACACGGGTCCCGTCCTTTCTTTGACACTGCATTCTCGAGACCGATCTCGATAGAGGAAGTTGATAGAAAACAATTTCTTTCGCAGGCATCTCTCATTAGAGCATCATAAAGGGTAGAACTATTTCACTCCACCCTTTCCCTCATGCACCACCATAACCCAATGTATTTACGAATGTTTGAACGACTGCCAACTCTTAAGTGGTGTATAATGTGGCTAAATTTCATCGAGATTTGCACTTTCTATGCGCTATTATGAGATAGTAGTTTTAGTGCACTTTCACTTTCAAAAAATAAAAGTGCCCTTGATGTCTGTACGGAGTCACAAAGGCTCTGGAACTACGTCATTTACAGACGCGGTATTGGTGTCATTCGATCAGTTCTTCTATGTGCTGCCAAAACAAAAATTAGAAAATTCGTTAAGCTGCTTTTTTATTTATTTTATTTATTGTAACTCTCTTGTTCTGGGCCCTCAACAGGCTTGCGCCCAATTACAGAGTGATCCGTTTAATGCTTTGGAGAGGTGCCCCTGCAGAAGGTCTTATACTACTCCGGTATTTACCTTACGCATTAGGAAACTGCAGGAAAACCTAAATCGGAGTAGCCCGCAGAATGCTCGAAACTGGTCTAAGGAAATTCCCATCACTGTCACAGATGAAAAATTCATACCTCAACCCGGGTTCGAACACCCGACCTTCCGGCTATGTAGCCCAACGCTCTACCACTGAGACAAATAGCTGCTTGTCAGCAAGAAGCGATGAGATGGCACTTTCAAATTTGTTTTTTCGATTTTAATAGCCCTTAAGGACATTTCATGCCTTAACGAGAATACCAACATGAAATAATTTTTAATTTCTAATCGAATGACACCAGTACCAAATCTGTGCGAGTGTACGTGGTGTAGTTCCGAAGCCTTTGTCACTCACACAGACAGACAAACATCAAGAGCACACAAGTGCACTTTTTATTTTTTTAAAGTGAAAGTGCACTAAAGATAGAAAGAACCTATAATAAGGAAGTACTAAGTCAAGTCACGCCCAGATGAATACAAGATGTGATGCCAGGGTCTCGGCCAGGGTGTTGTTCTCTTGATAGAATGTCGAAAAAGCCACTTGAGTCGTCCGAGGACGGCCAACGCCTGAAAGAAAGTGTACGGTACTCGGGTACTCACGACCAATCATATTTTCAAGTAAAATATTGTCGAAATAATTTTGATGGAGTCGAGACTCGATCAGGACGACCCAAGAGCGCCAGTTAGACAAAAACTAAGGAAGCCATATGACTTGTAGTTTCCATCATCCCTTTGATCTCCCCCCAAAAAACCTTTGCGGAATTTATTGCAACTCTTTCTGTTCACGTTGACATCAATCTGTTCGGCCCGGCGGCGTGCTCATCTAAAAGTTATATGAGCTGAATAATAATATAAAATAAATACGTGGCTGGTAAACACCGCCCATCAAATCATTAAATCTACATAATCATTAACGAAATACGAAACGCAATCCGTATACGAATGGATTTTATTTTCGGAAAAATGCGCTGGGTTTGTTCTAATACGATTTAAATATGTACTTAACTTTTATATAAACAAAATTCTTAAGATCATTGATCACGTAGAAGGCCAAACACGTGTCTTGACCGTTAATTAAGTCCATTGCTCTATTACTTAATGTTACATGTCTCGTTACATGTAAAGATATATCATGAAGATCTTTTCTATAACTGCATAAATTACATTATGCAAATGCCCAACGGAAATTGAAAACTGTAACAAGTACCTCCACAATAATTATATTCCAATTAATTAAGTACGTATCTCTATAATTACATAGTAGACTGTGTCTGATTTGCTCGATTGTTAGTTGACAACATTGGATTATTATTATTTTAGTTGTATTAACATTTTTTAAATCTTTTTTGGGTAAAATCCAGCTCTAGCATATGTTGGCATTCAAACACCAACCTAGAGGTGATTTTGCAGTGGCCTGAGTGTCTGAAAGGCAGCTGTGCTATGACTATGCTGTTATTGTTTTGTTCTCAATATTTTCACTGAGCACTTTACTAGCACTGATCATTCTTTCTACGAATTCCGTTTGATATACGCTTGAGAATTTGCCCAGTGGTTGGGTGATCTGGAAGTTCAGTTCTTTTGATCAGCATATATTAGGTAATTAATTATAGGTCTATGTCAAACACTTTCGCATCACCGCTATGGAGTGACCGCGGTTAGCTTTAAGATAAAATTTAGGTATTTTAAGTGTTGGCAAAATGTATGCAAATATTTATCGTTAAATGTTGATTGGGTACTACTGTAGTATAGGGGTAGTATACCTATTTGAAATCTTCCGCTATCGAAAGTTAGCAAGCCGGGATCTGCTGCTTAGTTGCTTGTTTGTAAAAAAAGAGGAATGTCTGTTACGTAATATTAAAGTTCACATGTAGATTTAGTCGTAGCCTACCGATAGATCTAGCCGTGACATTGATTTAGTGACGTCACAACTGGAGATGGGCCACTGCAACGCGATACTAGATCTCGGCCCCTGGACCACCTAGAGACTACAGGTTTTTGGTCATTTGTAGTTGCAAAGGTCTATATTTTCCCGTTACTCATCATTTACATCCTTTTCATATATGATGGCTGATTTTCAAAAATGGTGGGATACGTGTCTTCGGCAAGTTTAATCTGGTCTCGTGGAACTGTTAATACTGTATCGTCTTATCTAGTCATCTTGTCTACCCGAATAATGAAAATGTCGGAGAAATGCTTTATACAAACCCTGGAGTAACTAGTAATTTCAAAATTGTCCCCGTGAATACATCTTAACCACTTTTTGTGATCGTCTTCATTTTTCGGAAAACGAAAAACCGTAAGGAACCTTGTCTCTTGAACTATAATTGCTTTTGCAACCAGGGACGCAGCAAGTATTTGGCATTTTCTTACTTATTCTGTTCGAATACAGTTAATTTAAGTGTACAACATTAAACTACTTGGAATTAATTACATTAAAAATCGATATGACGGTCGCCGTCAGTTGTGACGTCAACGCAATAGTGGGGATGAGTGTCACGGCTAGTTCTATCGGTAGGCTACGATTTAGTTCACAATATACTTTAAACCAAAATCACTCTGAAACCTTCATTTTCATGCCTACTTTCTGTCAGGAAATTTTAGTTTCCATGACAGAGGCTGAGCAGACTACGTTTCCTGCTGCTTGTCACTTTACTGGCCGCACCGTCACTTTACCGGCCGCATTTTAGACATTTCCAAATACCTATAATGACTCCTGTCTGCACCACTGACAGATTTACATTAATGAAAAGTTCTAGGTATATAAAAATTGAAATTTTGTATTAAAAGATGATTTCGGGTAAAATTTAATACAAAACTCGTCAGTAAAATGTTATTACCTGATTCCGAAATTAAAGTACTCGGGGCCTCGCACTTCAATATATATTAATAAATAAAAAAGTTAACATTGCACAGTCTGCGCATGCGCAGTTCAATCGTCAAAATTTTCCTTGACTCAGGTGCCAGAGCGATACGCTACCGAATGCAAAAAGAATGAACTAAATATCTTGAAAACTGTAGGAGTCTCGGTAGGAGTAGTTAAGGCCTCGGACAGACGGACGGACAGAGAACGTGGCTGCAGTAGCGAACCCAACTTCGTGGGAAAATGCGCTAAAAAGTGAGAATCACATCACATCTGTCTCCTGTGATGATCCTATCGAGTCTATCATATTGCAACCTTTAATTGCCTGATTTGGTACTGTTCTAATATTTTTTTTTAATTACAGATATCGCCGGGGCCATAGGCATAAATGAAATTCCTCTTTCGTTATCTTTAAAAGATCCCGAAGATGCAGTAATATCGCGAGAGCAAAATGTAGTTTTAAAGTGTGAGGCAAAGTCCTCGGTGCCAGGGTTGTCAATATCATGGTTTCACGAAAACACTCCACTGTTAGCTAACGATACCAGAGTACAAATTTCGGGCGACGGCTCTCTCAATATTTCGAAAACGTCTGCGAAGAAAATGGAAGGAAGCTATCGTTGCCTTGCCAGAAATGATGTTGGTGCGGTACTTTCAAATCCTGCCCAATTAAAAATAGCCAGTAAGATTTCCACTTGTAACTACGGACCATTTTAATAAGTTACACTTGCAGCAATTGGTCGTGAATTCATCGAGCAGCCTGATAATGTGAACACCACCGAACAACAACCCGTCATTTTTCCTTGTCATATAGACTCAACTCCCGATGCAATTATTTATTGGGAACGTGATAATAAAACGCTACCTCAAAATGCAAGGTAACTAATTTCAAATGTCCATTAAAATAGCCGCCTACTATGTCCAATTTTTTATAAATCATGCTTTACTAGTTTGGCACAATATTCGTTTGATTTGTGTGACGTGGGCATTATGCCGGACCTCCCTCTCTTCACATTTTAAAAATGTTTTCCTATGAAAGTGGTTAAGAAGAATCAAGACTCAGTATATTAAATGCCTAAACATCTCTACGTTGTCCCTATAAATTTAAGGTATGACAAAGGTACTTTACTGATGTGTTGATTGATACCGATTCAGCAAGAATGCCGCCATGCTTCTCTAATGCCATTTTTTTAAAAACAAAGCGAAAAAAACAAAATATATGGCGTTAAAGTTGCGACATTTTAGTGATTTTTGAAGATCAATCACTTCTTAAAAAAGCAAAAAATGAAAATTTTACTATTAGAGAGGCATACATTAGCTCTTTATTTATTAGTATATAGAAAAATTACCGAACTTTTATATAGACAGAGAAACTTGTGAGACAAATGCATTCATGGTAGGTTCTAAAAATGCAAGGAAATTTTCTTATCTTTTAACTGTGATTATGTGTTGGAAAACCTTTCACTCGCTTCATTTGCATCCAAGGCTATTATTACATGGGACACAAATGTGAGACAATTCCATCCAAAGATAAAATTGTTGTACCTCAAAACAAAGTAGCATTGAAATTATTCGAAATTGATTGTTGGTTAGCACAATTTTGAACCCTCAAATTAACAACAGTTTTTATTAAAAGTAAAAAGTATTTTTGTTATTCAGAATGAATGTGCGTAATTTGCACATAGGTTTAGGTATGTAATTAAGGTTGGTCTTTCCGTCAGAATGTTTGCAATTTTTTTCCTACATTTCGTACAACATTCAAATTTATTTATATTATGTCCCAGAATTAGGAGTAATAAACCACTCGGCCTACGAAAGAGTATAATTATTTTTACATTACAAAGCAATTTATTAATTTATTTCGATGAGACTTTTCATTAGAATACCATGAAGGGTAGAACATGTGTTGGATGCATTTTTTTATTCTTAAAAAATGCGCTAAAAACAACAATAGGCATTTTCAACCCTTTGTGGGTTTTTTAGAGGTTAGATGTTTCAACGGTAGGGTTTGGTGGTATCTTATGGACCTCAAAACATGCGTATACCCTGATCGAGTTTCAAAGGTGATCTTTCGATCCTGCTTTCCAATAAATCAATTCGTGGCGAAAATTTCATTGCAGTTCTACAACAGAACCTCAAAGGGAATCAAACTACTAACTCAATATCTAGTAATAACCCAGGCTTAGTGGTGCGGGAACCACAAATTGTTCTTTTACAATAAATGTTAATGTTCCAAATAAATAATTATTTTGGTGTATAAATAACAGTTCGGTAAGTGTTGCTTAGCGACACTTGCGGACTTAAATTGATAGTAATCGTCTAATCGAACATCTACGGGACGGTATGAAATAAAAGAAATAAATCGAATAAATACCTACATATGCAATATGTGTACATAAATTCCTTATTCAATTGTCTATCAATGTTACATTGAAATGAAATGATTGAACGGAGTAGGTACTATACGTGTGTAGAGTAGGGATAGCACGTTATACTAATCATTTTTAAGCTCTACCTTTATTGGCAGTTTTGAATACTTCGTCTCCTATCGCTGCGTCCCTTAGAAAGTACTGGAGCATCTATGTACTGTAGTATTTAAAAAATAAATTAAATCGTCAGTGGATCACTCCACAAACTTTTAAGAGTATACCAAAAAAGTCTCTGGCAGACCAAATGTCTAAATTTTTGTAAACAGTGCACTTAATTTAGTCTCGCCTAAATGGCTAAAACAAAAAAAAATTGATATTCACACCTAACCAATTTAATAGACAAAGATTTGATGTATATTAAACTTACTACCTATATGTTCGTTTTAGATATGTTCCTCTCCCTTCGGGAGCTTTATTAATTACAAGCACTCATTCCATAGATACTGGTTTTTATAGGTAAGTACATAATATACCTATTGGGCCACAATAATAATACATTCTTGCAGATGCGTAGTAAAACATAAAACACTTAAAAAGACTAAGCAAAGCAGATGGGGGCAGCTGCTCGTGTCACCTCCTTCCGTAACAAGTTCACCTCCTCAATTTCTACCTCTAAATTTGTCACTCAATATAACTTCAATTGTTGGAGAAAATGTCACGTTACCTTGTGCCGTAAATGGTTGGCCTATCCCCGTTCTTAGATGGGTTTACAGTAAGTAGTAACCTTAGACTATATAGTACATGTACTGCTATTAGCCCTATGCTTTCAATACAAAATGGGTGGTCACGGATAGAGGGCACTGTAGTCGTGGGTATGCGAATCTCAGGGTAAACTAAAGTTGTATGAACACCACTCGGATCGCGTAAAGAGTAGCTTTTATGGTAACCGCGTAGTACGGGAAGCTTTAAATACTCTTGATTATCTTCTATACGTCCACAAATAAGAATAGGTTTGCTTTTTTTGCCATATCTACGCGATTAATTAATTGACGTTTGTAAATTTATAGGTTGACAGTCTCAAATCGTGTAATCGGACAACTTCGGACAGATTCGTTTACCCTGAAACTCACATACCCAGGTGATGTCCTTGACCATATTTTAGTTACAATTAGCAGTCCATGTACTATATGGTCTAAGGTAGTAACATTTTAAAACTTCTCACATTTATCAATTTTAGATAAGGATAGCCTCATCAGCAATTCAAGCGTTTTACACTTGACAAATGTTACTACAGATTTATCGGGAAATTATAGCTGCATTGCTAACAATGTTTTCGGCGAAGTTTCAATGGTATGTATTATAAATTGTATGTAATCTTCCACTTGTTGCTTGTCTACTATTAAAGAGATGCAAGTGCATCTTACTGACCCACAAAAGTTATTGTGCATCTAATCCCAATTGACTTTCATTAGACGTCTGCAGTATTTCCTGTTCCTATAATCCCATTATTCAATCACACTTAATTCTGTCTGTTACTTTGACAAATAATAAATTTCAGAATTTCACACTCAACATCTTTGAAATTCCACATTTTAATGTCACTCCCATGTCAATGTCTTACCCTTCTGCAAGAATGGTTCGTTTGGAGTGTAAGGTGAATGGGGTTCCACCGCCGAAAGTCACTTGGCTAAAGAATGGAGCTCCATTAGAATTAATAGGCAGAATTAAACAGCTAAATACCACTCTGGTATTGAGTCACTCGTTTATGACTGACGCAGGTAAGTTAGTTATTATTATAGGATAATTTTATTGTAATTGCAACATTTGATTTATTTTTCAACAATAAACTTTTTTCATTATACTTCTGTGAAAATTCTATGTGTTATGAAATTGGGTGTCATACAAACGGTATAATTTTTCTTGTGTTCGTTTTTAGCACAGATACAATCCTGAGAGAACTAGAGCTAGTTTTTTTAGAAATTAATTTCAGTCTTTTATGTTTCGTCGAACACACTCTATAAGGCTTTTCAGATTAATTGAAAGCTTTCCATAGCCATCTTGACGCTATTCTGAACCTTATAAACATGCTCATAAAAATATTTTCGAGAACATTCTAAACCTTCTCAGAACTTTCTAGCGATTTTATAGACCACTTCTTCCAATTGGAAAGACTCCAAGTTGGGCAAGAAAACCCAGAAATTTTAGAAAATGGTCAGAATAGGCCTTGAAAGCTCAGAAAGGGGTCTATAAAGCTCTCCTAATGGGTCAGATTTGAAGAACTTTTAAAATTCTTTCAGAGCTTAATATTCTCTCCTAGCTATGGAACCCAGTGCACAGAGGATATTCAAATTATCTGGGAAGAGGATAAGGAAGCACTTGATACCATGGAAAACGCTATAAGGCTCTGAAAAGAGTCTCCTAGATACTTTTCAGATTCTTGTGTCTCTCATTATATTCAACGGCTTTCAACCTTTCTTGCGTTTCTATAGAGCAGTTGAGACTTGCAATGTATATATGTGTCGGCGCCTCGGCGGCCTGTGTGCAGATGTTAGATGATTCAGGTTGTACTTTTCTTTTCAGCATTAATATTAACACAGATTTTAGTGTTTAAATCTGTGATATTAATTAATTATAAGAAAAACTACAACAGTATATACATGTACTCTGATATTTTAACATAGGTATTATTTCATCTTAAGTTCTTTGCATTAAAACCAAAAAGAATGCGACGACCGAACTTCTCAAGCAATCGCTCATCCTAAATATTAACTGCGCACTAAGCTGCTAGATAGTTTTATAACTTTCACATTTTTTCTCTTTTTTGTGTAATAAAACCTAGCATGATTTTTAAAGGTTGTACACAGAAAAAGAAAGTCTTTCGAATATAATCTCATAAAAATATTGTATTATTTGAAAAAAAAGTTGTATGACGTCACGGCGTTAGAAACTCGGATAACTATTAAAACAAAATTTTAACAGTTTTACATCCTTTATGCCTAATGAACATTCGCAAAATTTTCATGAAATCATAGTAACCGTTTTGGCGAAAAATTTTTTTTAGTTTTCAATGTTGACCTTTTTTTCGCCGTTTTTATTTGTAATAAAACCGGGCACAATTTTTGTAGGTTGTACACAGAAAAATAAGGTCTAGATTCTGAATTACGATAGGGTGAACAGGGTCCACGCGTACTTAGGCCTCAAATTCGGGCCCTTTGTACTAAAAATAAGGTCTTTAAAATAACTTAATAAAAATATTAGGTTGCTATTTGAAAAAAAAAATTCACTGATCTTGCGGCGTTTCACATTTTTTTTTCCAAAAATCCGGCACGATATTTTTCGTTTCCATATGCCTAATATGTATATCCAAAATTTGAACAAAATTCGTTAAGCCGTTATCTCGGAAAATTGCCAACGTACACAATTTTTATTCTTTAGAAGTTGCTTAAAATGATCTTAAAACATTGACATTTGATCAAATTTTAACATGTGCAAAAAACGGTGAAGCTAAAAATACTACTAAAATAACAATACTAACGGATTAAGCCTCAAATCAGTATAATGTGCAGCTTAACAAACTATAAAAAACTAATTGATCAGAATGAAAATAGCAATACAGAGATTAAGTACATCAACCATGTGAAGTTGGAGGTAGATTGTAAAAATGTGATGGTTTAGCTTTATCTCAATTTAACCATCATATCTCTTAAGGTAACACAGAGATCACTATGATGGGGCGCGAAAAGTGGACACCCTGTATAGTTAAACAGGTAATCGAGAAAAAATTTCGTGCTTGCATATGTATTTTCCGCCAGATTCTAAAAATACTAATATATGTACTTTTTCACCAACACATAAATGCACTATTCAAATCAAAACCCTTTCAAGTGCCCTCGTACATTTTTTATAAATCTTATACATAATTTTGCCCAGTTCTCCTCTCAGTGATCATTAATAGCATCTATTTTTAGGTATATATCAATGTGTGGCATCCAACATTGCTGGCCAAATTTGGATGGCCGCTCGTTTATTACCATTATTTTCCAACAGTCGACCACACCCTCCACAAAACGTAACTTGCCAACCTTTTGACGATAACAGCGTCTGTTTAACTTGGAATTCTCCATCAAATGTCACAATCCAAGCATACAGTATATATTTATTTAATTCTGGTAATCTTTATTTTCAATTACCGACATATTATAAATTTAAATAAATTTTAGTGAAAGGATACGATTTTGTTACCAATTACACATACTATCTTGCCAATGGTCTTGAGAAGAATTCTGAATATACCATGTATGTTCAATCGTACTCCAATGATCCAAGCGATCAGTCAAACAACGTTTCTTGTAAAACGGGTATTTCTTCGTGTAAATGAGTTTAATGTGAAATTGTTTGGTTTTTCCGCAGGTGTGCAAGGACAGCGAAATTTGCAGGTAGAGTTTTTAAGTGAGAGTTCGGTACAGTTAATCTGGTCTCACGTCAGCAACGATTTTCTCTGTGGAACTAAGAAGAATTTATATAAAGTACAGTGGAAAAAATTTGATCAAACATACACGAATGTTCTTTATACATCACACTTTCAGAAAACAATATCTCGTAAGTATAACTATTCATGATTGTTGGCTTTGTAAAATTTTGTGTTGGCAATACTGAGTTAGTTAACGGAATGGGTAGGTTCAGCCCACCCAACTGTTGAGTATGTTGAGACGTTGACTTACCTGAACGACGAATGGTAACTTCTGGTGGAAGTCAGCAGTTGGTAATAATTGGCACCCACAAATTTGGCGGTGTTTTACCGCACCGTAATATCATAACCTAACATTTTGTGTCTCCCTAGGACGTTCATTGGAGCAGCGATATTTTCAACTGCCACTGGAATAAAACTCAGTTTATGTAATCTTCAAATAAGAACCGTTCAGGTATATGTTTGCGTTTGCTAATAAATACAAGGTACCACATTTACGGCGTTAGTCAACAGTTGCGTCGGCTGAACGTACCCAATGTTCCCAGTTGTTCGGTAATAGGAATAGCTTTAGCCAGTTTTATGAGTTTAAATTTGTCAGGGTTATTAGAAGGTTTTATTATGTTGAATTCTCATGGTTTATGTTCTGCAGGATTGTTTTTTGTAGCTAATGTGCTTTATAACCGTGTTCATTCACATTAAACTTTGAAAAATTGTGAAGTATAGATTGAAAAAAGTATTGGGCTTAGGCAAGACCCCCCAAATTTCAAAAACTGGCGACTAAGCATTTAAAACTTGAACGTTATGTTGTATGACGAAATGAAATTTTCCTAATAAGAGAATTTTCGAAAACTGAACCAGTTTAACTTGGTGGGTAGTTTTTGCTATGGTAACATTTATTGGCACAATTGTTTCCACAGTAATTTTTACCAACTTTGTTAACCTGGATGAATCCACTAAGTCAACTTTCATGATGAAATTCAGCTGATATTTTTCAAACGTTTAGGTTTACAACCTTCTACCACTTACGATTTTCGAGTGCAATCCACCACCAATAAAAACGATATGAGTCCTTGGGTGACCTACTCTCCATTAACAAATAGTTCTGAAGTAACTGTAATGCCGACATATTCTCACGAGATATCAAGTACCGAAAATCACACCTTTTCATCCTTTGTGCCAATTCAGGTGGAAGTCCACCCAATATCTCCTTACAGCGTTAACTTAACCTGGTCCGATGGTGATGATAATTTGTCTTACATGGTGTATTGTACAGATGTTAAAGAAAAAAATAATCGCATAATGGAAAGGTAAGAAAATTATAGTCGGTCGTTGTTTATCTTTGTTGTTTTAGTCATTCTAATTTTATGGAGGTGACCAATTTAAAACCAAATACGCTCTACGCATTTAAAGTTCATGCACAAAATGTCAAGGGGATGTCTAGTTTTTCTCAGACTGTTGAAGTACAAACGCCTACGGATGGTAGGTATCCTATATTTTACCAAGTACCTACTTATGCAAAAATGTTTCATTTTCAGTTCCTTCTGCAGTTCAAAATCTTAGATATAAGGTAATAAACGCAACTGCAGCGTGTGTTACATGGAAATCTCCAATGTTTATGAACGGCAAACTTCTGAACTATGTCGTGTCTTATACTTCCAATAAAAATTTACCTTTCGAGAAATGGCATAATATATATATTAAAGAGGAAGATATTTACATCAACGTAAGTATACTTTGACCACATTTAACACATAATACACTGTTGTATGGTTACAAAACAAGACACAAACTTTCGGGTGATACAACTAGATAGAAAATATTGAATCTGGGGGGCAGTCAACTTTTTTAAATTTTTTTAATATTTGTTTCTACTTCTTAAAATTCTATTTTCAATCATATCTATTGCTTTATATGGTACCATAGTAGTCTTGCTCCCTTTTCCCAAAAAAAATTCGGAAAAAACTTATTTCAAAATATTTTATAATTTCTTGTCAGACTTTTTCTTGTTAGCACAATAGAGCCTCAGGTATACAAAAACATACTAATTACTAAATTTTATTTACAGTGTCTCGTAGATGAGATGACTGAGATATTGATTTTGAGCTCATTCCTCCTTACAAACCCCCACTTTTTGGCAAAAGTCCAAAAGATTTAAGAAAAATTTACTAAATCAACTTTCTTATTTGCGGAATGGTTTTTTTTGAAATGTCAGCGGTGGCTCCTGCTATTAAAAGCGAGTCAATTTCGTATGACAAACATGTCAAAAGCAAAAATGATAATGTGTCATATCCGTCGGTGAGGTTAAAGCATTAAGTGTGAATATCTCGAAATCGCCGTGCGGAAGAAAGTATTAAGGTGCTCCAGTTGTCTCGTAGATGAACCCTATTAATTTTGGATTTATTTTCTAATAAGGAATATGGTAACATTGATTGTTTAATGCTTTGTAACTCTGTATACAATTGATTGACTGTGGTTAGGTGTTAAAGATTTTGATTATTTTCATGGATATCTTGATATACCGCGTGTTCCTTTAAAATTTTCAAAAAACGTTTTTTTGCGTACCACTAAAGTGTTCATTGGGGACGAGATGGCACAAATGTTTTAAAGAAAAAAAAAAACTGAGTAAAAGTGCAAAATTTTAAAGTCCTAGGACGACTGTAATTTTTTTGGTGTTTTTAATTTTGAACTGGATTTTTTGAGGAGATCCTAAAAAATGTCGCTTAAAAAACTGTTCAAAATAGAATGTAATGACCGTTCGTTCTGCGTTAAACAGGGAAAAATATTTCGTTGGCGAGTTGTCGCAGTGGCGAGTCGTCCGTTGGCGAGTTGTCGCGTTGACGAGTTGTCGCAGTGGCGAGTTGTCCCGTTGGCGAGTTGACGCGTACCGTAAACTTATTAGTATAATCAATACCAGCCATTCGTTAGTTCTTATTCACAATAAAAAGAAAACAGAAGAAAAACGTTTAATTTCGAAATTTTGTATTGTAGCAATGTTGGTCTCTGAAACAAGACGAGATATCAATTGTCTTAAAAAATCTGAGTGTCGATTTGCAGTATACATTAGTTGTGAGAGCAGTAAGTGAGACTGGTTCAGGGAATCTGGCTGCTCCCATTACCTTTTCAACATATTCGAAAACAATTTTACTACCAAATTCAGAAGAAGAAACTGTCTCAGGTGAAATAGATTATAAACAAAAATTAGGTAACTGTTGATTTGACATTTGATTGTTATAACATTACTGAATGTTATAGGTGTGGCTGTTGGCATAACGATCTCAGCTTTGTGCATCTTGTGTTGTGTATGTTGCATTATATTTCGAAGACGTTGCATGAAAAGAGATGCTATAAGAAGGACTAGGTTGACGACGTCTAATAATTATTACGCATCCGAGGTCGCATATTCTGGTGCTCCATTGCACATGCGTCCTGATTCGTGTGCTACCGAAACACATGAAATGCAGCAGTTGGTGATGAGTGACGGAAATACTCACATACCGCCTATAGAAACTACACATTTAGATACTAAGGTGATGTATTTTTTTTTTTTCAAAGAGATTACGACATAACTTTTTAGGGTGGCATTGGATTTCCGAACGGACAATTAAATGGAAATTTAAAGAATATGCAGATGAACGGTCATGTGGCCAATGGAAACATTCACATTACAGAAAACCCTCGCGTAATTATTTTTTAAAACTTGCACTTCTTTATTGTCTTACACATTTTATTATAGTACGACTACCACTCCTGCAATGGCAACCAAAACTCCAAGAAAATAAAAAGGGACTGCATATTACCTCAATTATCTTGTCTTCAAGAAAACGCCATCGATAATATCCAAGAATTACAGGATGGATGCTTGGACTATAGCCCTAACAAGCCGACATCTAATCACAGTCTTCCTTTGCACACCGAAAATAGCAAACTTCCTCACAAGGTTTTTGACGTATCCGATTACAACTCGAATTGCAATTCGGAATTTGTCCATATATACGGCACTAAAGATTTAGACAAAGAAGTTGATTTAAACCATACACAAATGACTTATTTAGACGAATCGTTTTCCGCATTGCCAAATCGAATCGTCTCACCCGCATTAGCACCAAACGGTTGATAAATAATCTTTTTAAATACAACGAATAGTTAATAGATTAAAACTCTTAATTTGCATAAAGTACCAAGAACTACAGGCCTGAAAATCTGTTTAATCCAATTGCAGCTAATGCTTGACAAATACACCACAAGTACAAGTACAATAGGTTAAATTAAGAAAATATTTATGAAAGTTACTCTGCAGTATTGAACCTCTTTGATGATGTGCACGTACATACCTCCTCACATTCCATTAGAAAAAAATATACAGGGTATTTTATATAATCACTAGAGAAATATTTCATTATACGGATCTACTCACAATTGATGTGCCTTGATAGTTTTGTGTATTATAAACAGAACTAAACTTATACTACTAAACAACGAGGAAAGGTTAAAGGTATGAAATGCCCTGTATATCTGAACGGCATATTCAAGCGAAAGTTAACTAAAAAACGCTTACATAAGCTAATGCTAAACTATTCACTAACTGTCGGTCACACCAGTGGAAGTTCGTAATTAAATCTACAGCAAACTGGCTGGTATTTTGCTGTAATATGACAGTACTGATTACTTATTTTCCTTAGTCGGCATGTGCGCCTTGAATACAAGGAGGAATTTTGATATGGATAATCATCGTAGATATTAAGGCAAACTAAATAGAAAAAAAAATACTTCACTATCAATATTCTCATGTAATTGTTGAACCTTAACTAATTTACTGCAGTTTTGCTCCACTCAGGTGTAATAAAAACGTTGCAGTTATCCAGGGTAGATTAAAAAAGAGTTGAAAATTTGATTTCAAAACATTCTTCATGGATGAAAACTTTATTCTGGGAGATTTTTATCTCTGCCAGATCATGACGGTAATGGTTGAATTAACTCATAAAAAATCATTTAAAAAAAACAAATCACTAATAGTGAAAGATTTCTCTCATATATAAGAATGAGTGAATGATGTTTGATTTACTACTTTGACCGACTGAGGTAGTTTTTCTAAATAGATGGCAATTAATAAACACAGTGTGAAACAGCTAACAGCTGAAGACAAACGACACTTTTTTTTAGAATAATGATTGTATGTATAATTATGCTATACCATAGAAATCCGACAGGATAGGTTTTACTATCTTGTCAAAACAGTGGCGATGTCTAAAGTCATTTGCTCAATTTAGAGTTTTTTATATTTACAAGGGAGGGTACCAAGGTATCAAATTAATTTCAGCTACAGGTTAAAATATTGGGTGGAGGAATTAGTGAATACCACCGACAAACACTTTTAAACGTTTTACGAAGGCTCTTCACAGATTTTGTATATATTTATCAAGTATTCTTAAGAGATAAAGACATTTAGAACTCTTTCAGAAGTTTCAGAGATTCAAAAGAAAATTATGACTAATAGTCATTTGCACCGACAAATTTAAGCCGAGCTTGGCTTAAGCATAACTTAAAATCCATGGCAACGAGTATTGCGACAATGGTTGCTATGGATTTTAAGCTAAGCTCCACTTAGATTTGTCTGTGCAAACGTTAATTTTTTTTTACTCGACTATCGTGAGAAAATCACGGCACAGACAGAATGTGGCTTTGGAACACTTTAGCCATTAGGGCCATGGTTAAATTCAATCAATTTCTTGGATACCTAACAGTTGTTGTTAAATAAAATTAATTCTTGCAATAACTATTCCATAACAATTTTTAATATATAGTGAGCTGGCAGTTGAAATTTTTTTATGGGGCATCAGGTTATTTTCGCGAGTCCTAACGTTCCCTTGAAGAATATTTTAATTCGTTGTAGCGTCTTGTAGGTTTTACATTTAACGCTGTAAATTTTGACTTGTCCTATATTACATTTATGTGATCTATTGGAAATAAAATAAAACTTAACGTAACATACCTTACAGAAGTTTGACACATACCTTACCGAAGTAAGGGCTAATGGGCATACAAATTTGAGCAAATACCAATCCAGCAAGCTTACGTAAGCGTTTTGGTTCCATCATGACTATCTTACAAACTTGGACAAATTTTAATCCAAATTTTGTTCATTATGTGACATATTACACTTTAAGTAATAGTACTGAGAGAAAAGGGAAAATTGACACTACCGCCTTAATTAAATTCGAGTGCACATTCAGCTTAACTTGTTCAATAAAAACCATAGTGTTCTTCCTTTTTTTTATACACAGTAGGAGTACTTAGATTTCGGCTATGACTATATAGTTGTTTACTACACGTGACTAATTGGAATACGTAAGGTCGACTTCAATAATAACAATACTATGTCTAGATCTTTACACTATTTATGTACATGTTTGAATGTGTTGATTTTCCGCTCTCTACATCTTGTCAATTTTGTTACTCCTAAGTTCCGTAAACATGTACATAAACTCAATAACAATTCTATTTATTATTTTATGTAATTACATAGTTGGTACCTGACGACAAATACCTAGTTAATCTACTTTTTTTATATAAAACTAACCGGTGTGGATGAGAAAACTGTTGCATGTGCTAATGTTAAAGTAAGTACGATGTCTTAATGTTATATTGCTGTAATGTTTTTATTATTTTTGTTGGACGTTACCGTGGCAAAAATACATTTGTTTACTATTATAACAAATGCTCCCAAAGATTTATTTTATCTCTTTCATGTATATTATCACATTTTACACCTACTAAAAGTGTTCGTTCTATTTATCTGTGCCTTTGTATTGTACAAACAACGATTAATTTTTAATGTTTTTATGTATATACAGCTCAAATCAACTTTCCATAGTTACCATTTTACTGACAGTTTATTTATTTGCTTTTCATTTAATGTTACATCAGGGTTTTGTTTTCATTTAAACAGTGTGTAGGTATATATATATTAGGAAATAGTTATGATTTATGGATATCTATAGACGTACCTATATTTTGTAAATTTGTTTTAATTTTGGTTGGGTGTTCATACTGTATATATAGTTTATTTTGCAGTATCATTGTTATAGTTTCATCGGAACTTGCTCAATTATCATAATAGACTGGATTTATTTACATTAGAATCAGAAGTCTGATATAGAAAAGTTAAAAGTACAATTGATTTTTAAAGTTCCATAGCTTTTTCAGGTTCCAATAAGAATTGATATACCTCATTAAACATTCCTAGCTAAACTACAACTAATAGTATTAATAAGAATATGGCTGCTATCTTTGTTTAACAGTTAGGTACCTTATGTTGATTTACAAAATGGTACACATTCCACTCGCTAAGCAATAGACTTTAATGCAAACTGCCAAATATTACTCCGAATATTTGAAATTTGTGATTTAAGAGAGTGAAAAATAAGCCGGTCGTTTACAGATTCTGAATATTTGCATTTGCTATTGTGTAAAAGACAGGTATATATATATAATTAAGCACTAAACCAAAAATCTATAGTATATCATATTGTTAAACATTAAAAGTCGCCATGTATGTGGTGTTTAATCTACCTCATTTAATATAGTATATAGTATTAGCAATGTATATTACTACTTTTATTATTGTAGTTAATTTTTTATGTTTCTCAGGGCACTTATAATTATGTTATTGTCAGTAGACGATGTTAAGGTTGAATGTATTTGTTGTATAACGTATGCTGTGTTTGCAAGATTGCTATGAAATCTATGTTCCATCCAACATGATTGATTCATATTTTATTTTGTTACTTTTTAAACTTTTAAATCTGATTAAATGAGGCTGCTACTGTACTTGACGGCCTACAGACTTCATTATGGTGGACATAACTGATATAATATTTCCTTCGGGAAATTGCATGAATTAATGTCTTCATTATTTTTTTAATTTAATTTGTGGATTGTCACCCTTGCCTTTTACAGTGTTCACGATAACAATTTTACAACTGGTTTTTATTTATACAATATGTGATATGATAGTTGTCCTTTAGTTGTGTTACGAGTCCGACTCAATAAATAATGTATTTTTCCCACAATCTAAATTTTATTAACCATTACTAGTTGTTGCAGTTTTTTGAGATATGTATATTATAAAAAAAAATATATTTAAACGATAACATGTTAATAATATATTTTTGTACGCTTGAATGAATGCGAACATGTATTTTAATTTAATAAATATACGATACAAACCAATGTTACAGCACAAATTATATTGTAACACTCAAATTTGTGACTTCTAGGCCAATCAAAATACACTAAAAAAAATGAGAAATTTGGTTTCCAAATATGTATAGGTATGATGATTCATTCTATTTTAAAAATGGTTATACAGGAAGTAATGAGCGATCACACAAATAAGTTAAAGAAGAGGTAAGGGTTCCACATACTAAAAATGAATATTGTTGATTGTACCTAATATATTTTTCTTCTCCAATTAAAGCCTTCGGTCATCCCTGTGAATTCCAGTTGCATTATAGCCACATCTTGAACGCAACCATCTGTACTTTAGCTGAGTATCAGTCATTATCCTTTCAGCATATGGAATAAACAACAAGAATTGTAACGTTAAATAACATATTCTATCAGATAAGTCACTATAAACCAAGCTATAAACTATTGTGTTCCATTTTCTCCTATCTCGCGCGTTAACTTCTTAGCCTCCTCCCATTCTAGGCCCTGATCTTGGAAGTCTCTCTACCGTAGGTCAATATTGGTCTGTAACGTTATTGCTGTAAGTAGATTTCATTAACTCTTTCTAATTAACTGTTACAGTACTTATGTAATAGCCCTAATATTTACCATCTCACGTTTCTGATTGATAAAAATAAACTGACTATATTGAAAAAAATAAATCCAAATTCCACTGCACTCACAATTGATTGTTTTATATTAATTAATTATTTACATCTATCCTGAATCTGAATAGTATTTAAATTTACTTAATTAAATACCTACAGCAATGAATATAATGGCTACTAACTTATGACTAGCCTACTTATATAAAACCATTCGCCAAAAACAATTATAAAATGACGAGATAAAAATTTAATATAAATCAGTTCCTAGGTAAATTAACTTTTGATAAAAATAACTTACAATTTAGACATTGATATTCCTCCCCTTTTGAGATGGTGTTTTTGTAGTGGAGGATTTTAGATTATTCTCAATCTTCGTCTATTAATTCCAATCGCGTAATCCAAATTTCCTAGCGCGCATTTCGTCCTTTATATAATTTCTGAATGGAAGTCTCAATCGCACGTTAAACTGAACTGCAGTTGCTTTTAGCAAGATGCTCAATGATTAATACTTTCCAAACAATTCGCTATTCCAGAACGACCAACTTGTTTCTGGTTAAAAGACGATTTAAACAGTTCAACGCAAATTCATATTGTAGCGTCCACGCGGTTGCGCAGTGGCGAGGGAGTCACGGTGCAACAGATCTGCAAGTCTTAATTACGGTAGCCCATACTCCTTTCCGACGTATTCGTTGTCCTCCGTATCTTATGGACTCCAGGTAATTATAACTCGGTTCACTTTTCCAAATTCAATAAAAGGCAGTAACGGACGTACGTAATTTCGAAAAAATTTTAAACTGAAATCTGTGATAGAATTTTATTTTATAATATCGTAAAGGAGCTCATAAAATGTCGAATAAATTCAACGCGTAAGTCTCTTATTTTCAATTTGAATCAATTGCTATTTTCTTTCTCCACTTACAGCTTGAAACACCATGTCGAAAATTCAGATCGTTCCGACAGCGGGAGTGGAGATGATGACTTGGGTTGCAACATACTAGATCTCGGTCCTGTCGAATATCCTGCGGGCGAACATCGTTTACAACACCCCTACTGTTTGTGGTTCTCAAAACGACAGACTCTTGTACGTAATCCGCAAGTACAGGCAACAGAAGGATACGGGCAAAGTTTGAGGCTCGTCGGTCAAGTGGCGACTGTCGAACAGTGGTGGGGTTTATATATTCATGTAGTACGTTTACATGATTTACCTCAACACACGGACTTGCACTTATTCAAAAAGGGGATTCGACCGATGTGGGAGGATCCTGCGAATAGTAAAGGCGGAAAATGGGTTAGTCAATTTGTAAAATGTTGATCGTTTTTTAACCAAATTTTAGGTTATACGATTACGTAAAGGACAAGTAGGGAGAGCATGGGAAAATTTGTGCATGGCAATGTTAGGTGAACAATTTGTGGTAAGGTTTTAGCACCTCGTCTTTTTTGTGGGGCTTTAAAGTGTGACTTATAGACAGGTAACGAAATTTGTGGAGTAGTGGTTTCCATTCGGTACCAAGAAGATCAGTTAAGTATTTGGAACAGAACAGCTTCCGATCAGGCTACTACGGCACGTATTCGCGACTCTCTGAAAAGATTACTTAATTTACCAGCTACTGCGACAATGGAGTATAAAACACATAACGACAGTCTCAAGTAAGTTTAACTTCATACATTGTCGACTTGCCAAAGCCACACTGGTTCAATATAGCATTGATTTCTTTTTAATTCTCGGCTACTAATTTCTCTTGGGTCCAATCTTTAATTCTATTTAGTCAGATAAGTGTAATTAAGTTGAACTATTTTATTATGTACATTTTATTTAAACAGTTTGAGCTCGAGTTTGAGGCTGTTGGATCAGGTATTGATTTTTTTTTGGAGACCTTGTACTTGTACCTATACATTTCTTCCAGTTGTTACTTAAGTTTTTAAAATTCTCAAATTAGTGAGTGTACTTTAAAGGTATAACTATTTTGTTTCCCGATATTTTCTAACAAGTACCTATAAATTGTGCACAACTCTTGTGCAGATAAAGCGCATTTTTTTAAGCCGAAATAGATTAGGAAATATTTGGGTTATAAGTTGTGCTATATTTATACCTAATGCAAGAAGGATCAAGCCCTTAGAGCAGCGGTTCCCAACCTGTGGTACACGTACCCCTAGTGAACTTTTGGGGGTACGCACAAAAATATCAGTAATGGCGGAAATCGATATTTTAACCATATGTTATTGTGCCGTAATTAGATGCTGATATGTCATTGTGCGTGTGTGCTTGGTCAACCATCAACCACGCTTACTAAATACCTGAGCATGTGAGCAAGAGCAAGCCTAGATTGGACCCTTGAACAAAACTAAATACCACTTCCGAACTACGTTAGCGTGTGCGTGCGTCGTCAGCGGTAGCGGTAAGTCTAAAAATAGCAAATCCGGACTTTTAAATTTGGTAATTTAAATAAAATTTTACTTAGTCAAATAAAAATTATATATTTCATAATATGATGAGAGAGGTTTTTGTACCTTTTAACACTAAATTGATATTAAGGTTAATAAAAAAGTATGTATGTAAATGATTGCTAGGGGAAGGTTGGCAAGAAGGGGGTTCTTGTTAGGGGAAAACTTACTCAAGGGGTACGGGAGATAAAAAAGGTTGGGGAACCACTGCCTTAGAGAAAATCTCCGAAATATTGCATTTTCTCTTTGTAGGTGTAGGTACCTTCCTCAAACATTTTCAAAATACTCACAAGTAAGTTTTCACATCGCCAGTAGTTGTGTCTCGTCTAGATGATCTTTTCGCCTTTTGAGAGTACCACCTCCCTACATTCCGTTCTGCAGAGATTTGCACTGAAAGTTTTGACATCACCAGTAGATGTGTCTCGGCCAGACGTTCCACTCCCTTTATGGATACCCTCTTCTTGTTTTCCATTTATTCACTTTGACTTCGCCAATTTTTGCATACACTGGCCATAGTGGATTAAAAAACTCTACAAAAATGTACATTACAGTTTTTTTGTGAGTTTCTTATTCTTTGAGAAGTTTTGAATTGAAAAATTAAACTATTTATTTTATTTTTCTAAATTTGCATTTTTCTCGAAAAGTAAGCATCAGAGTGAAAAATGTTAATTACAAAAAAATGTGTGTCTTGATGAGATCTACAAAAAAGTCTTATACACTTTTTGCGTCGGGTTCAAAATAAAGGCGCCAGAGGGTATTTTCGAATGTTATATCATGACCAAAGATCATCGCATTGACTATATTAAAAGTAGTCGGAAAGTCAAATCAGGAGTTTACCTAACAACTCGCCTAACAACTAGTTTCTTTGTATTTTGTATTTATTTAACATTATGTTGGGTGGTGATTTGAACAATGCATCATAGGAATTTCAACAGTAATTTTTTCATTTCTGATTATTGGCTTCCCTAATTATTTTAGAGATAAAATCTATTTTGGTTTTTTATAGAGAAAAAAATTACGAATCCGTGCATAGTTAAGTATAACTTTTAATTTTTTGAACTTTGAAACTACGAAATTGGATAACTAAAAACTGGCAATTTTGAGAAAATCAGTTGTACATGATTTTTATTTGTTTCAGAGCATGGAAAACAATTCCTAGTGGTGTATTAAAAAGTTGATTCAAGTTTGCCAATTGAAAGATTTACGCCATTGTTATATGTTAACAAGTGTGTTAAAATTAAATACACTCTACAACTTTTTGTGTTTTTAATAAATATCCGTTACTCAGGTGTCAGCCTTTCCGTTGTCTGTTAGATGTACTTAGCCGCTATGTTAAAGAAATTATTTCCATTACATTGTCAATTAGATTATTGAAAAGGTTGGGTCTTAGACTTACTTATCGTTATTTTTAAGTAAGTGTGGTTTCAGCCAAGGCTGCTTTACCAACTATACATTGTGTCCCAAATCTGATGTAATTATTTTCATGGTTTTGTTTTGTGTTTTAGCACATTTTTTTATTACTTACTACTTGATTAAAATATAAAAACGGTTGATATACTTGTATAACTGGTATCTTATTTTCAATCTTAATGCTATGATAGTTCGTGGAAGAGAGAATTAAAGAATTTATCAAGTATTCTAAAAATCCAATATTGCCCCTGTTTAACTTAAGGAAGTTGCCATCTTGAATTTTTTTTGACATCAATCCTAAGTTAAGCGTAGGTATCAAAGACTGTAACTTTTACTTTTTTTTATACCTCTTATAGTTTCGATGATATAAGACATTTTGAATTTCCATAAGGGAATTTTAAATAATCATCTAAAACTGCAAAACATTGCCCATTTAACCAATTCTCTATCTTTAATAATAAGAAAGTTTCCCATGCAATCCCACGCGATCTGGGACACACTATAAGTATTTGCAAATATCCGCGCCCGTACTCGGATTTGAACCAGGAACTCTTGTACCGCAGTTGAGCTTACACTTTACTGCACCAAGCGGGCAAATACAAATCTTACAAACCGATCCACAAAATGAAACATGCAGGGATGTCCAAGAGGTCTACCGGTAGACCGCGAATGCAATTAAGGCTTACAAAAACATGACTTATCTATATACACAGATAAGTCATGTTTTTGTAAGCTAGAGCATTTGTTAGCACTGATCTTTCGCAGTGGTAGCAAAGGAAAGTTCCCGTTCTAAGGAAGGTTATCAAAAAAAGATAATTTGTAATGCTATTCAATGGCCTTTTAATAAAGTTAATAAATTGCAAAAAAATTGTACAAATCTACCCCATCTTATGCTAAATAAAGTATCTACGCCGATGTAAGTACCATTCACTATATAAATTATTTCATTCTCAACTCACAAATACCATTAATAAACAACAAATTTATTAATCATATTTGCTAGCAGTACGGTAATGTGTTAGGTACATAAAAATACAAAAATATATTCTTGCAAATTATAAAAATGGCAGTGTTCAATTTTTGAATATGGGTAACCGTTCCCAAAAGTGTAACTCAAGCTTATTAACGTACCTATTTCTAAGTTGACTAATTTATGTGCCCCTTTTGTGACTAACAATTACTCCATATTCATTCAATAGTGCCACTTCTCGTGGTATTGTGATTTTTTCACGCCTAAATTTGCTAAGTTTGTGGAGCATATAAATGTATGAAAGCTAACGAATGGTTACCCTATTTTTTGACAATCATGGATGGAGTAAATCTTAATAGGTACTGTGGAATGCTAACGTAAATACTACTTGGGTTGAGGAGTAACCGATCTTCGACCATAGGAGGAAGAAGGTAAGCCCGGAGGTAAACTTGTGGTATGGGATAACGTGCTGTCTAGTTTTCTCGCCTCGTGTTCTAAGAGTAATGCATCCAAGGAGGGATCTTGCGAAACTGTTCTCAGTGAATCACCTAAAGCTTGACGTAAATGTTGCATTTCTCGACCTGCCCTGGTGCTTCTTAAAACATATTGCTGCCTTCTCTTGATTTCTTGATTGAGTTGTTCCCTGAGTAACTGTACTTGAGTCTCAAGTCTTGCCACTTGCTGCCTGTGACTTTGTTCTCTAGCTTCTAATAGTCGTTCTGCCTGCATTTGTGCAGATCTGTATCTTTCAATTTCGGCTCGATCAAACTTGTTGTCAAGATTGGGTCTTTGACTTCGTAGGCGATGTAACTCTGCCTCTTTGTCCGCCAACTGAGCCTCTAAGCGTGATATTTTTATACGCAGCTCTCTGTTTTCCTGTTCTAATCGATCACTGTCCATAGGAGTGTCGGTGTCATATTTCTCGGGCTTTTCATACATTTTACTTCGAGGGGTGGTAGATCCTTTACCTACCTGTCTTTCTAAAGTATGTTTCTCGCTTTCTAATTCGTGTACCTGCAAAAAACCAACTATTTATTGAGTGATTCATGAATGAGTGCTTGAGATTTAATTACCTAGGTTTAAAATGCGAACACTAAGAATATACAAAAACAAGCAGTGTAGGTATGTACTTTTTATGCATTACACACCGCAAGCCTATAAAGAGCGAAAAAAATTATTACGGGCTCAGAAGAGGTAAACAAATAACTAGAGGGCATCGAGATATACTCATTCTTGGTCATGGTGAAGGTGGAAGAAATGAAGAATGTGGTCGATGGAAGGTGAACAAAATTATTGTGATATCTGAAGGGTTAAAGAAATGATTACGAGGGCATTAACACGTAGTTACTCATGATGTTGGAGGCTGAAGATGTGAAGAAAGGGGACTTTCAAGAACGATAAAAATTTGCGGTCTCGGAAAGCCTAACAAATGACCAGAAGGCGTCGAGACATACTCATTCTTGATGTTGGAGACGGTAGAATTGGGAAAAAGGTCTATTTTAACTTGTTGATGACTTCCAGTCACATGTGACAGTTTAAAGCGAAAGAATAATTTTCTCTGAAATCTCACCTTATTAATAAGAGATTCAACCTTGCCTCTAAGCTCACTTCTCTCCCTCTGAGTGGAGTGTAATTGTCTCAGTAGATCCTCATCTCGCGAACTTCCTGCACTCTCTGCGGGCCACTGAGCCAATCGTAGTTGTGACTCTAAACCCGCTCGCTGCACCTCATTATTGGCAAGCTCTGTATTAACTCTTTGAACCTGATCCTGTAGGATTTGATTGTTGCGTCGTAATTCTGCCAAATTTTGTTGTCCCGCGTCTAAACGTTCCGCTATAACTCGGCGCTCATTTTCCGAGTTGGCAAGTGCCTTTTGCAGCTGAAGCAAGATTGTTAGGTACATTGATCATAACTTTGTTTGTTTGTTTAACCTGTTTGAGTTTCTCCGCGTTGGCATGGGAGGAAGTGGAAGTGTCGAGAAGGTGTTTTTGTAATCGGTGTATCTCAGACTTTAATTCGTTTTCGTTACCGGATGAACGTTCCAACGATAAGTTGAGTTGGTCAATTGTCGATTTTAAGGAAACGCATCTTTCTTCAAGACTCGCCAGTGCACGGCCTTGATTTTCACACTTGTCTTTCAATGCCTGTTATGATTTCAGTGTGAGATCATTTCTATAGATGTTAACGATAAATACCTCGATGTTTGCATCTTTGTCCTGCAACATTAGCTGGATGCGTTTTAGATCGCCTTCCAAAGCCATTTTTTGTAATTCCAATTTCGTCGCTCTATTTTCAGTTCTATTGAGCTCATCTTGTAAACTGTGCTTTTCACTTTCTAACCGTGACAGTGATAGTTTAAGTTTCTCTATTTTATCCTATATAACAATATTAAAAATGAGTAACCCATTTTTCACTTACTTCAAACTGTATCTTCTCATCATTTCCACTGTTTAGCGATAGCTCGAGAGATACAATCTTATCTCTCATTTGGTGGGCCTCTTCAGTTTTCTTCTGTAACGCGTCCGTCTAAAATATTGACACATTGAAGTTGGTGTAATTGGAGGAATGGCTTACTTGAGCCTGTAGCGCTACGTTCTTTTGACCAAGTTTCGATTCCAAACTTCCTTTTTCTTCTTGCAAAACTTTGAAATTGTGAAGAATTTTGTTTAATTTACTTTCACCTTTAGTGTGAGCTTCATGGGATTCGTGCAATTGCTTTTTAACTGTAGAAATTTGTGTTTTATAATCATCCTAGTAAGAAATTTGATTATACAGTGAATGTGTGCAATGAAAATATTACTCTTTCACGTTCAATTTGTGCTACTTGTTGCATTAGATTGCGCACTCCTTTTCGTACTATTTCCGGGTCTACATCAATTACTCCATCAGGTTCTTGTGCTAAAAAGGTTACACTTAGTCACTCGAAATATGAATATATATATATATAGATACTTACTTCTAGCCGGACTCCACCTTCTTGACGGACTTAAAAGTCTGTACGGCATATTTACCGATCCATCTAATTGTATTCCTGCAATTCGTCGCAGTGTAGATATAACACTACTCAGTTTCTGTTCTAAATCGCGTTTAGACCCTTCCAATTGTGTCAGTTGTGCATCCAATGCTCTGACTCTCCCTTCGGCGCCACCAAGTCTGGCCTGTGTAACACGAACACGCACAATAATTTAGACAAATTCACCATGTGCCGTATCGCATGTGTACCTTTAGCTCTTGAATTTGTTGCGTGGCATCAACAAGACACACTTCCAGATTGTGTTTTTGATCTTCGAGTCGTTTTTCCCTTCCCCTCGAGTCCTCCAGATGCACGAGAAGATCTTGTTCCCTAGCATGCCATTGCTCTTCCAGCTGCGCAGTGTGACTACGCGAACGTCCTAACTCTTGTCGGGTTTGTTGCAAATGATCTTCTAATTCGGTCATCTACAAATACAGTTGAACTCCCGGTCTAAAGAGAAACCCATCTTTACCTGTTTCCTTAATTGATGTAGCTCTTGCTGTACCCTTTCTCTTTCCTCGGTCTCATTTAACAGACGAGCTTGTAGTTCCTTCTCCTCTGCTTGCTGCTGAGTATTACTGCTTTGACTTCTCTGTAACTCGTCGTGTAGCAACTGCAGTTGATGTTGAGAGTGTAACTGATCCTTTTCTAGATCTCGTATCGTATTCTGAAGACGTGCCCTATCACTTTCCAATGATAATTTAATTTCGTCCAGATCTGTGAAGTAAGTAACTGTAAAGTATTGGAAAATTTCTACAAGTTCTTACTCGATATTTTTTGGAAAGCTTCTTCGATTTGTCGCGTTTGCTCTCGTTTTTCCGTTTCACTTCGTTTCACGTGGTCACGTAATTCTTTATTTGTAACGTGATATTTCTCTTTTTCAAAGTTGCTGTCTGTGAGCTGCCTTTTAACATCAGTCAGCTCTTTTCTCAACGATTCCGAGCTATTCTCGGCTGTAAAAGAAATTATATTATTAGACCAACGGTTTGGGTTTCTACCTTCTTTGCATTTGCGCGAGGTGTCGTTTAACTGATTTGATAAGTCATCAGCTTTGTTTTCCACCAGATGCAATTGAACTTTATAGTTTTCACATTCTGCTTGCGATGAATCACGTTCTAAACGAATCTCTTCAATTCTGTTATCCAGCCGAACCTTTTCTTCCTCAGCTTTCGCTCTAGGCACAACGTTTAAAGACATGTCAAGAGAGAGGAACTTACTTTATGTCCTCTAACTTTGTTCGGGTTTTGTTCAGTTCTTCTTTGAGTTGATTGATAGCAGACCGGTCCTGTTCAAATCTACCATTTGCTTCACGTTTCAGTCTGTCCAATGATTCTTGCTCGACTTCGAGCTTTCGTCGTACTGCATCTAGACGTTCTTGGAGGGCTTGTTGGTCATGGTGGGCTGGAGAAAGAAATTTGTTCAATTCGATTATATGTACTTATACCTACTTTCTCATACTAACCGATGAGCAAAGCTTGCTGTTTGTCATTCTCAGCTCGTAGTAACAGTTCTTCATGTTGCTGTGATACGTTATCAAAATGATTTTGAAGATTAACCAATTGTTCATGCAAATTACTTATTTCGGAATCTTTCTCCTGTTTTAATTGATATAATGAATCTTGCAAGCGTTTTTCTAGAGTTATTCGTATCTTCTCACGTTCTTCTGTGAGCTTTTTCACGTTCTCGTCGTTTTGATTTCTCAATTTAGAAACGGTCTGTAAAAATTCGGCTTCTTTATTGCCCGATTGTTGCGTTAGCGTATTCTTCACATCTTGGCATTTCTTCTCCGACCTTTCCAAATCCTTTGTGAGCCGAGCGATTTGTCCTTTTAACGCTTCTTGTTTGACCAGCAATTCTTGTTGATCCTTTTCAAGTTGAAACTTTTTTGTATCGGAAGTTTCAAGGTTGGTTTGTGTGTCAAACAAAACGGCCTCGAGGGCTTCCTTTTCTGATCTGATTGCGGCTAGCTGTTCTTGGAGACGTTGAATTTCTTTATCACTTGTATCGAGTTCACACTTTTAAACAATTAGTATATTAACAGCTGTGACAAATTTACAATTTACCCACCTGTTTCTGTTCGCATTCCTTTACCAGTTCTTCCAAGTTTCTATTTATACGACCGTTTGTTTCATTTGACTGTTCCAGGCGCTGTTTTGTACGCATAAGTTCTTCATTTATAGCTTCTTTTTTGCGATTGAGTACAGTAAGTTGATTGCTTAGGTCTGCCCTTTCTCTTAAGACTTGTCCTAATTCCATCTCGACCTGGAACAGACGCGAATTGGTAAGTAATTGTTCGAAATATATATACCCAAAGTACCTTTCCCTTGTCAATTTCTAAAAATTTGATTCTCTCATTCAAAGATTGTTTATCTGCCTCTAAATCCAGTCTATGTTGCTCCGCTTGCAACAATTCTTTTCTCAAACTCTGTATATCATTTTGCTGATCATTGCATTGCGAATGCAACGCCATCTTTTCATCTGAAAGTTTTTTTAAATCCTCCTGCAATTTTTTTTTTTCAAACTCAAGATTTGTCGCCATATTTTCCTTTTTCATCAGAGACTCGTGTGCATCACTTCTTTCTCCCAGAATCCGATCCACTTGCACTTCTAGATCACCTACAATATCGAAACACTGTGTTAAACTAAGTTTCTGCAGTGGCGAAGCTGTCATCATTAGAGAATACAATTTTTCACTGATGATGACTGTTTCGTGGTGTTTTTGTTTCAGTTTTTGATACTTCAACGTCGACAACGGTTCCAATATCTAGATATGTAGCAAGGTAAAAAATTTTGTTGTGACAGTCCCCCATCAAAGAATTAGGAAAATGTGGGTTGTGTCCTACTTTAGGATCATACCTTTGGATTTTTCCAAATTACTTATGAGATTTTCACATTCCATTTTTTGTTGCTCCAACACATCATGTACCAAATACAGTTTATTAAGCTCTTCTCTCGTGCTTAGCAGTTCCTCTCGTATTCTACTACACCTATCTTCTTCGCCACGTAAAGTAATTTCTCTTAGATCGCCCTCTTGGTGCAAGCGGTCCACTTCAGCTTGTAGGAAGATTTTCTCATCGTGTAAAGTGTCAGCTTCTTTTTGTAACTTATGGTTTTCCTTTTGTAACTTTTCATAGTCGGAATTGAGTGTGTCCAACTGTAAATAATATTGTCGAATAAAATATTTAACTGGAGGTAATACACGTAATAGTCACCATGGCATTAAGTTCGATTCTATTCCTATCCAAAGCATTTTTCTCCACTTTAGAGCCATCGAGTGATTTTTGTAGCATGTCTCGCTCCTGGAAAAGCTGTGAACATTGTGCGCGACAAGCGTCTAGTTGTGCCACAAGTTCAGCAACTCGCCCTTCTAATGATGACACGTTTTCTTCTGAATTTTCGTGCTGTTTTCGAACTAGCAGAAGTTGCTCCCTATTTGACTGGAGTTTCACCTGAAATACTACGTTTAAGTCGGTAATTTCGGCGTAAGTCTTCTGACCTGTAGTTCATGAATAAGTGATTGGTATTTGTGAAGTGCTGCTTGTACGGCTGATATAGTGCTTTCTGCAAATGCCGCTGGAGAAGTTGTACCCCGTGGTCCACCTCTCTTAGGTGACCTAGTACCGTTGAGTAAGGGATTAATTACTCAATGCTAGTACGTAAATACTTACCTTTGGTCAATTTTATTTTAGTCACTTACTTTTGTGGTATTGGTGTCGATGGTGTCAAATGTAAATGAGTTATGGCGTCTGGTCCCATAACTTCGGCATCCTGAATTAAAGCATGGGCAATGTCTCGTAAGGCTCCTTGCAAAATATCAACATCTTCATTAATTCGGACTACCTGCCCTACTGATTGTTCCGCTTCAGCACATCGTTCTTCCTAGAAATTATTTCAGTACTATTACAGTACTCAACACATAATGTAAATACCAATATTTGTATCTCTCGCAAAAGCTGTTGAACACGATCGTCCTTAATGCGCATGTCCGTTTGAAAACTCTCATGTTGACTCTGTAATAGTTGAATGTGGGATTTTAAGTCCAACATTTCCTGCTCGTACTGATGCTTCTCTTTACTCTACAGCAACATTGCTAACTAAGAAAATTTATTATGGCGTCACCTGTATTTACCCCCATCATTGAGTCCAAAGCGATGTTTCTTTCCATACGACTACAAGCGAGCGAAAGATCGCGCCCCATATTACTAATATCGGATTTAAGATTGGAAAGGTCCCTTTCCGTAACTGACTGGACATCGACAAACAACCGTTTGACAGATACTACGTCTCTCCACAAGTTCAATAAGCGAGCGTGTTCTGAACTATAATAATCGTTAAATGCTTGCTCCTCGTCTTTCCACTCGTCCTCCTTTATTATCATTTCTTCTCGAAGGTTTTCAAAATCATTCGTCAGTTTTTGAAGATCGGTAGTAAGCGCTTCATTTGTCGTGTGAGATTCATCCAGCTGGCCTCGTAATCTTTCATTTCTGTGTTTAAATGGCAGAAGTAAGCATAGTAGATTGTGTGAACGAATACCTTCTGCGTTCCTCATCCAACCGTCTTAGTGCCGTGTCAAGGTCATGGATATGCTCCTCCCTTAATTCTCTGAGATGCTGTTGCGCCTCCTCCAGTGCTGAACTAGCCGGCGCTGGAAGATGTAGGGTTGTTGGCCTTACGGAATGCGAAGTCTCTGACGTGACATCCGATTTCTGTGCTTCCAAATCTGCGCATCGCTGTTTGTATTGCAGGACCTGGAAAGTATTCCTTTTTGTGTGATGTGATAGTTGATTAACTTACCTTAGCTTGTAAACGGCTAACTAGAGCAGCCTGGTTCTGTTGTGCCTGCCTGTATGTATCCAGACGCCGTCTGTATACTGCAGCTTCCTCCTGAAGCCGCTGTCTTAAATCTATATTTTGCCTACTTAGAGATTCCTCATCACTGCTACCACCACCATCACCTCTTAGACGCCCACTGTCCATTTTTCTACTACCCGTTGGTGATGTCTGCGGTCAATCTTGTTAAAAATATACCTAACAATAATTGACAGTAACTTACGTCGCTTCTCGATTTTGGCCTATACAGCGCGGGACGCCGTCGTTCGAGCATCTTTGGTGGTTCCGTCTTCTTTACTGGTGGCTGCAAAAAGACCTCAATTACATAATTGAAATTTAATTCAAAGAAACGTGCATTTATTAATATTAAATTTCTAAATAATTGAGCCAATTCTTTCCAGGATCTTTGAAGCTGCATGCAAAATACTAATTGGTCTAAAATGTTCTAAGTACTTTATCGGCATTTTAAGTAGATCTATCTACCTGTTCTAATGGTACCAGTGTTTTTATAGGTTTCCAAGAAAAACTCTAACTTTCGTAATTACTTATGAACCGATTGCGACCAAACTTTAGGGGTATATAACTCATAAATATCTCGGCCAAGTACGTGAATAAGGCAATTGCGCCATATTGGAACAAAATGGCGAAAAGAAATTTACCCACACCTGATCAGCCGAGCGGAAAGGGATTTTTGATTTTTGGGACTGGTGTAATAATGAACGATTTCCAAATCAGCAACGGTACAGTGCAGCTGTATAGGTAGGTATAGAGAAATTTATAATGTCGGTGAAAGCTTTTAAACAAAATGGTATAGACAAAAGCTTGATTTCAAGTATAGATACCTACTTATGTTACCTACACCTTTGGCGGAACTTTCCAATGACTGAAGTGCCCGCAATACATCAACGCTGTCAACTAGGGTTGCCAGATACCCTATATTTAATATGAGTCTCATATATTATGAAGAAGTTTGCTATCTCATATCATATTGAGAGTTTTAATATGAGACAAAAACTCATATTTTTACACAATTCTGTTTTGCTATATAATTTTATTCAAAATTCAAACTAACTCTGAGCAAGGCGCACACGCCTTATCGGTTATAATACGTAGCTCTTGCTCGTCCGTGACGTTTCGAAGGAGTCCGAGCGTATCCCTAATTCATAACTGATTATTTCTGAATTTGAATTTTATGTTCGTATATTATAATAGCCTTTAAATTATATAACTTTGTTTCTCTTTTCATAATAAAATCTCATATACATTTTTTGAAACTCATATATTATTGTACAGAGTTCCCTATATTGAGTTGAAAGAAATCTGGCAATCCTACTGTCAACACATGTTTGATGTTTCAGAAAGAAAATCTGTAGATTTTGTCGACTTTATATAGGTATGTTGTTTGCCTAAAGTCGTGATTCACTACTTGGGGGAACCGGAACGGCAACGTAATTTCCTACCGTACCTATTGTATTGTGAAAGTGCTTAGTTTTGGGATTTGCGAAGGGCTCTCATCTCTATGAAGTGCCCCAGCCCCCAAGGTAAGTAAACATGGCGTAGGTAATGAAACATTTCCCAGATCGGTATGCCATCTACCTATTCATTATTGTTTTCAAGTGGGAATTTTGGTATGTTGTTTGCGTGATCCTTCGAATTTTTTTTCGGTAAATTGGATTGACACTACTTTACTACTCTATTCGCATTTGCCAGGGCAAAGTATACAGGGTGGTGACTTGCGTAACGCATCATAGGGATTTTAATGTAAAATTCCTAACATGCCATTATTGGCTCCCCAAATTATTTTAGAGTAAAAATGTAAGTATTAAGGTTTTTTGTAGAAAAAATTTTTTTACGTCAATCAACCGTATTAGTTTTCAATTTTTTGCATAATAAAGACGGAAAATTGGAAAAATAAAACCCCCATCTTTTTCAATAATCTGTGATGCCATGGAATTTTATAATACAAAAACTACGCCAATATCCGTCATGCCATGGAATGTGCTATAAAACAAATCAAATTCTATCAAAAAGTATTATATTTAGAACAGCGAATTCAACATAAAGAAAGACCAAATTACTAAAAACGGTTTCCTAATATGACAATTTACAATAAATGTTCGAATAAGTCACCATTAACTGCAAGACAGTAGGTAACCAAGTCGATCATAAAATCCATTTTGAACTGCTGCTAATTGATAACTGGATATCTTTTTGTTTTAGAAAATTCCATGGCATCGCAGATTATTGAAAAAGAGGCGGGTTTTATTTTTCCAATTTTCCGTGTTTATTATGCAAAAAATTGAAAACTAATACGGTTAATTGATGTAAAAAATTTTTTTCTACAAAAAACCTTAATACATGTTTGCTCTAAAATAATTTGGGGAGCCAATAATCGCATGTTATGAATTTTACATTGAAATCCCTATGATGCGTTACGCAAGTCACCACCCTGTATAAGCTAGAGGGCTGTAGCAAAAATGTAACTTGTTTACGAAGTTGTTTTTATCTTTCCAAAGTAGACAAATGCATAAGTTTGTAGGTAGGTATTACGCATATTGTCTATCTACCTGCCTAAATTTTAAGGGATAAACTTATACACGCGACTGTCTCCACCTGGCACATTTCCACCTCAACTCCTTCCATTCTGAATTTAAATTACTAGGTTAATAAACCACATAAAATGAAAAAAAGAAGCTTCAATATTAGAATTTTTCCACAGTACAGCATACAATGTATAACAAATCAATTTATTTACGTCTAAAAGGAAGTTTTTTTAAGTCCATAGTTCATGGATTGTAGTGTCTTACATGTATGATGCATTACAACTTTTTTTTTATGTTATCGACTAACTTTGGACTTGTTGTAATCAATCTGAAATATTCCTGAAACTGACATGTCTGTGTCGTGTCTGGGGATCTGTGTGTACGCGGGACATTGTCCTGGTAATTAAATGATAAATATACATCAATGAACTCTTATAATTAATAATTAACTAATTCTGTAAGGAATATCATCAGTGTACATTCCCACATGATCATTTTCAGCAATTCACAATTTCCTCGTTTTATACTAAACCAAAGAATACCTACTTATAATCAACAATCAAACATGGCCTATACGAATAAATTAGGAAATGCTGTGATTATTTACCATAAGATTAACGCTTTTTACCTTCGGTGTCGCATTTTTATTAGTTCTCTCATCTAATTGCTAGGCAACGGTTTTTCATTACCTAAACAACCCAAATTTACTCGGTAAAATACAAACCTCTTGTGCAATTATAAGTGAAAAATCGTATGGAAAGTGGTACCATAATATAACAACTATGGTGATACTTTTTTTTCACGATTTTTACTATGCGTTTCCATGGCGTTTCGACCAATACCTCATCAAATTGTTAAAGTGACAGAAAATGACGAATGTCGATATTATGCAATTATGGGTTATTAAGGTTACTCGTTTCGAAATTCCTGCCTCAGCTACGCTTCGGCAGTAAACATCTCACTCGTTAACGTAAACCTTGATTTACCATACTCATATGTAAATAACTATTACCTACTAGAGAATTACGATTCTAGACATTCATTTTCCAGCCGAAAAAATGGATAACGTTTAGTTCAAAGTTCCTAATTTCCTACGTTTTCTAGGATCTTAATTTTGAAAGAGAGTAGGTAGGTATACGATAAAAAAAATAGATACGTCTGAGAAATGTAGGGCGAGGATGCGAGCTAACGTGACAGATTACATATTTACGGAATTTGTACTTCGACCTATACATGCTCTATGGAATCCCATTTCTAAGAAATATTTCTCACTTAATTTTATTTACAAAACATAAGGCAGACCAAAACGTGGCGTTTAGCAACTGATCCATTCAGTGCAAAGGCTGCTTTCATTTGAATGTATAACCCCATACACAGGTTGGCACAATCAATATTACACTACTTGAAAGATGAAACAGGGGGTTTTCCTTAAATATATGTAATAGACTTTCCCAACGACACGGAGACATATCTTGCATTGCATGCCTCTTAAATAAAACGAAGTATATTGAAACTTTTGACTAACATGTGCTTAATTTAAAAATTGGAAAATAAATTAATTATCCTGTCATTCTTGTGCCATATTTTGCCAATGAACAAAAAAAATCAATATTTTTCTATAAGTGTGATATAAATACAGCACATATTATTCATAATAAAACGAAAGGTTATCCTGTAATGCAATATGTACCTAATTAATTTAAATTTTACACTTTGGTCTTGGTCACGCCGATGGAGAAGTGATAACAATTTTGAGGCACCGAATTTGCTGTTGATGTGAACATAATTACGTAGGTATCAATTTATTACGTTCTTCAATTAGGTACCCGAACTTATTTTTTTTTAATTTTTCGTCAGTTGTTTATGTAATCAGCAGGGGATGTTAGAACAGAGACGAATGGCATGTAATAAGGTACACAATTTAGACTGAAAAGAGGATTGTATCTCGCCCCAATCAGGCAAACCGTAGGTATAAGGGTAGGTCCTAAACCTAAGAGGACTGAAGGTTCAATAGAAAAGTTTCAAACTCAACAAAACAATTGAGTCGAAAAACATTGAGAAAGTTAATAATATGCCGGAAGAACAAAATGAATTGTACTATTGCAAATAAACGCTTTCATTCCGATTTTGGATTGTATTATACGGTTGGATTCTAGCCCATACTGCCTTGATAACAAATTATATATATAGCATTATTATTTTGATGCAGACACACAGCTACGTCTAAAAAACAGACTGAACGTTGAACTTTGTTCGGTGTTCGTTAAATAAATTGAGTGATTTTGCATGCCTATTCATAAAGTGCCGTCAAAATACCAGAAATGTAGAGCAGAAATAACGTTTCGAGCTATTGTGGTAAGGTGCAAAAGTGTGAGCATTATGAAATAAAATTTACAAACACTTTTATCTACATTCCCTTGATAAGACCCAGACGATTTTTTTCTTTTACTTATGACCTAATTTAAAGTCCAAAATATTTGCGAATGGCGTAGGTACAATTTCAAATTCCTCTTTAAGCTCATTCAAAGTTTACTATCTGCCAAAATATAAATCCCACAGTGCCTCATAAGTAAAATGGTATAATGCATTTTGAAAAAAACAAAAGTGGTGCCTTTACAGAATGCTGTTTTTAGTGCATGGCGATAGCAACAGATGGCTGGTTAATAAATAATCTTATTCATAGAAGCGGAAAAAATGCCGTGCGAGTGAATAGATTAATGCGAAATAAGCCACTTACTCTAGGCATTTCGGTTTCAGAGGC